AAGAATTGGGGAGTTTACGGCCCAAGAACATCCTTGTCCGTAAACTCTTCTTTTGGCCTCAATATGAGAAGTTTAAAGTTACAACACATTTCCTAGTGTCAAGACTAAATTACTAAACACCCTAGATGAGTTTTTGGGGCTTTTAACAAGGGTTTTTGGGGTGTTTACGGCCTAAGCATAAGCTTGGGCCATAAACTCCTTTTTAAGCTTCAAACTCATGTGTTTTAATGTTCAAACTCTCCTAGGTATATCCCTTAATTAGTACATAAACTTAAAGGAAGGAAAAATGAGGCTTTTGACAAGTTTTTAGGTGTTTACGGGGCTTCTTAGGCCGTAAACTCCTTTTTGGTCCTTGTTTTCTATGATTTTTGGCCTCTAAATACAATGAAGTATGTTTAGAATAAGATAGGGAATGAGTCCTTACGTTTGGAAGCCGGAATTTGCGGATTTGGGTTCGGTTTCGGGTCTAGAGAGAGAAAGTAGTGAGAGAGAGTGAAGGTGTGGTAAAAGAGTTCAATTATAATGTCCATTTGTTTATATATGTCTCGGGTATTGCACCCGATATACGGCTATCCGATGCTAAAGTTTAACGGGGTTAAAACTTTTTACCCGGGTGAAGTGGTTAAAAAGTAATATAACTCTATCTAGTTAAACGGGGTTAATATTTACAAGTTATAAATACTTATGATAATATCGAAACATATAAATAACTAGATATTTGTTTATTGACGACTCCCACACATTACCGAAAATAACATATAGTGACGCATTCCGTTAGTGAAAATAGGGTTTGTAACGGCAATATATTTGGGGTTGTCACACCTTACGTGCATGCATGGGTTAACTAGCTCATAAGAACCCAAAATGAAGTCTACAAGGTGCATGGGACTCCCATGGCCATAAAGTTGGGACCTTTATGCCATGGGAATCCTTAAAGGTTCAAGATCCGAATGTACCACCCCAAAGAAACACATAATCTCGAAAATGGCTTCATTATGACTTAAAAGAGGTAGAAACTAGACCTAAACAGAGATCTAATAAATGAGTAGTCAAGATAAAATCTTTATATCTCAACTGAGCTGGAAATATGCGAAAACCTCTAGATCTACTTGCTTTCTCTTGATCTCCAAACCTCCACTTTCTTCTGAAGCTTCAAACACACACACACACACAAATGACACAAAAGCTCAAGAACACTCAATAATTAGTTAAGGTTTTGTGAAGAGAGTGTGAGGGTGATGGAGGCTGGAGTGGAGACACTATAAATTGTTTAAATTGAGTGCAAACCATCTACTTAGGGTTTCATCCAGATAAGCCTACTTGTCGAGTCGGGGCCTCTGACTCGACGAGTAAATTCTTCCACCCACATCCAAACTTTGCTTCGACTCGACAAGTTGGGGCCTTCAACTCGTTGAGTCCCAAATTAATAGTGTAAGAATTCATATTTAAAATACGTACCAGGAACTAGATGCTACATTCCATTTCCATTTCATCGATCCATTCCATAAATATCATTAGCGTTGGTTCTCCATAAAGACTTGGGGGGTCGGGATGCTATGAATTCCTCATAACTACATCCATTTTGTTCAACCTCTTCTTCGGAGTAATCTCTATTGATCACGAGTGTAATAAATGGTGCAATGATTTCTCTCTCATCTCCTTGGAGAAGCTGTTTGGCTCCTTCAACTAGTATTGCCCAAATCATAGCTTGAACTCCTGCCATTATGGGGGATTCAACTACTGACACAACTTCAGGTGCCCTCTCGATCACATGAGGCTCACTCTGTTGGTTTCTATTATCATTCCCTAATCTTCTACATGTTCTCACCATGACATTCTATACACCAAAGTAGGCGTTTAGTGTACCAAAGGTGAGTTTATTATGATAGGGAAGATTTTATTATTGTTTAGACGTATAGATTCTCCTTATTCCCCTAAAAAGTTACATGCCAGTTCTAATATAGTAAGTATTGTTTAGAAGCTTGAACACATAAAATTTCCTTTCTTACCTTCAAGATCAACAATAGACCTTAAATTCTATTAATAGCAATCTAAGTAAGCACTTAAGGCATGCTCTGTTACATACTAGTTAACATATAAGGTATTTCTTCCTAAAGTATGCTAGGGCATATTATAGCAAGTAAGGTATACAACCTACGTTATGCTATATAAATATTTCTTATTTAGCACATAATTTTATTTAACGCATTTACCCTACAGTATTCTAGTGCATGTATCTATTTAGGTATACAACCTAAGATGTTCTAGACACCTATCTCACCATCATCGCTTAGGATTCTAAGTTTAAATCTAGAAATAAATCCTTATTTCTAGTTCGCTTAAACTAATGCTCTGATACCAACTGTGAAATCGTCTAAATTTTAGAACCAATTAAAATTTTCTTTACGCTTATATCATCATTTATGCGGAATTTCCTATTTCATTTGAAAATTTAGTATAACTGATTGTCTCAATTTAATAAAAGCCTAAGGGTGTCATAATCGATATAGAAACATAAGTTAGATCGTAAAGACCTAATGGTCCTGAACTTTATTGCAGTGTAAAGACCCACCATGTTATTGACGACTTTCGCTTATCCATCAAATTGGTGTTCAGATGTAGTGCTAAAGTTGAACTCAACCCAAACATGGCTAAAGGGTTAACCAAAAATGGGTAGCAACTTGAACAACATCAAATATATGTTATCATGGTGTGAAAATGAGCAATGTTTTAGAGATCATCCAATACCACAAACACAAAATCCACGTCACTTTGAGTCACCAGAGTTCCCGCCGGGGGGGGGGGGGGGTGAAGTCTATGGAGATATCCTCTCATGTCCCTGAATGGATCCTTAAAGGCATGTAAATATATGTATATTGAGAAACCTTACCACCTTTGGACAAAAGTTTACACGTCTCACTTTAATTCTAGTATAAAGTATCCTTTATTCTTCCACAAGATAAGCCTCGTGAATAAAGGTAATTGATTACCTTTTCTCATAGGGAATTCCTTGGGATGTAGGGTCACTCCCATTGAATTTATACCCCTTTAAAATCAAGAAGTCGCCTCTATGTAAAGGTTAACACTTGAATCAGACTGAAAAGGAACCGGTTTAGGTAAATGAGTGGATCGATAATTGGACCATTAAGTATATATTGATGCTGGTGCCAGTTCATTTTTTTTAACCGATACAATATGCATTGCATAGGTTACAAACTAATGAAGGAGTTTCTATCCAATGGTTTAAATGATTTATTTTAGTTATTTGAACATTCACAAGTTCACATCACTTACTTTAGTTACCGTAGTAAATGAGCTAAAATTCATCATAATGCAGAAAGCATTTTAGCTTTGCTACCTCCTATTCATGAGACTATAACTCAATGAATATGTTACAAAGTAAAGTGAAACTATCATCTAAAATGAAGTACGAACGTTAAACTACATATTGGAATTTTTTTTATGTAACTTTGACTTTAAACAAATGAGTTATGTTAGTTTAAATAATTTTACAGATTCAATATCATGCAAAAAAATTAGAAACATTTCTTTTTTGATACACCCTCTTTGAGGGACCTTAACTCAATGAATATGCCACAAAATAAGATGAAATTAAGTCTTAAAATGAAATATAAACAATAAACTAAATGTTGGGAAAGTATCATTTCATTCCAACTTAAAACAGATAAGTTATGATAATTTAAATAATTTAATATATCTAACATTATGGAGAACTTGTCCAAACCGGTTTTTACCAAAAACCAGTAAAAAACCGAAATGGAAATATGGATTAATAAGAACTAATAACCGGCCCGATAGATACAAACCGCAGTCCGGTGCCGATCCCCATCCTGATCCAACCGGTTCATATGTTCACTTGTACCTTTATGTTGTTTTATATCAATTTTCTTACGGGTTACTTTGTCATACGGTTCAAAGGTTCAATACTACCATTATTTTGTGGATGATAACAAACAAATTTACCTTCCTAGTAAACGCATCATCTACTCTATTTTAATTTAATAAAAAAAAACTAAACTTACAACGAAATAATCTTGTAAAAGACCATTTTTAACAGAAAAAAAATATTTAGATATTTAACTCGGAGGAGGATATTATTAAGAATGGAAATGGTTATCCAAGAAGAAACAACTAAGCAAGGCGTGGGTCTAGCGTGCACGTGCAATGCTTTCATTTCCACCCAATTACACATTTCACGTGGAACTGCTGCTCAGAAATTATAATCTCATTTTTATTTTATGTTTTAAATTCAAGCTACAAAAATAATATGAAACACGAAAACAAGTGTTAGTTATTTTATTAAAGCCCTTGTGACTTAATCGGTGACATTATAACATCCTAATTATTCAAAAATGTGTTCGTCAAATTTTAGTTCATGTTTTTCTAATTGATATAAATACGAAAATCTCACACCCATAGTTTTAAATGAGATATATTGATGTTTAAAAAAGTATGGTCATATCATTTCAAAAGAATTAGTTTTAACAACACAACTTGTTTCCATCAATATTTATTAAACTATATATTTTGGATTAATTGATGCATTTTAAATTTATTGAGTATATATATTTTCAAAAACGGTAGGAATTGTGTTTTATTTATGTACTTATAAATAATTAAAAAAATCAAATATTATAAAGAACAATTTAATAAAATACATTGATAAATAGGTAAATTTTGCAAATTGAATTATTAATTAAAAATTAGATGTGCCACCGTCTTTTAGGTAACGGAGTTAGTGACGGTGTGAACACGAAATTGGGCCGCACGACGACGTTTTTGGCCGCTCTTTTTCCCAACGAAGACTTTCTTTATTTTTGAAAAGACTAAACACGTTCCACGTGCGCGACCCTAATTTCCAGGATTCCCTTTGAACAATTCAATGGCTTTCTCGTAATTTACTGGACCCTTAGGGGTAATCAATTTGTAAAATTAACCTATATTATATAAAGCTCACCTCATTACAACCAACAACACCAATCTTTTGATTTATTATTATTTGGTTTTGACTAGCTTCACTGTTTCCTTCCCTGCCGCCGGCAATCGGCAACTCTCCCTTTTCCGGCTATTTCTTCATTCGTCCGGTCCAGCGACGGAGGAGGAGTAGGCGGTGCTCTTTTGAATATATATATATATAGATGACGGCTGGGACGAGATTACCGACTTGGAAGGAGAGAGAAAATAACAAGCGGAGAGAGAGACGACGACGGGCCATCGCCGCCAAGATATTCGCCGGACTTAGAGTTTACGGAAACTACAAGCTGCCTAAACACTGCGACAATAACGAGGTCTTGAAAGCCCTTTGCAACGAAGCAGGTTGGATCGTTGAAGAAGATGGAACGACTTATCGTAAGGTTAGTAAAAAACTAAAAATCTCATCATCTTGTATCCTCTCGATTTCTCGGATTGATTTTTAGCGTGATTGTGGTGGCGCGCACGATAGCAGAAGAGTTTTATAACTGAATTACAGTTTTTGTAGATGACCACATCTCGAGTGTCTCCTTTGCGAGTTTTCTTATCGAACTATATAGCTTTTGATCATATGCTCTCCGTTGAATGATTTTGCGCGCACGTTAGCAACGTGATTTTTGTGATAGTCGGTATTTAGGCAAACTGCTGATTGAGTTTTAGTCCTTTAGATCGTTATCTTCCTTAAACCATTCTTGCTCTCCTTAGCAACCTGAGATTCATGATGCTTATAGTTGAATAGTTGAAGATCTAGTTTTTTGCTTTCCAGTTTTCGTTTAATCAATCTGATTATATATCTAGACGTAAATCTGAAAACAGAACTTAGAGGATTTTGTTCATCGATCTAGAAGTAAAAGATGAAATTCGTGCAATTTTCATTTGAGGTCGTTAGCAGTATAGAAACCAATATGATCAGTATTGTATGAGTGTGGGGGAACTGGAGATTCGTCGTTATCACCGACAAGGTAACGTGCTTCCTGAGCATTTGGCGCATGGTAGCACGAGGCAGCATCCTTAGCTGATCTCTTTCTACTTCTCTCCCTCACACACATCTTTCTCCGATAATTTTATTAACAACAGTTTCCGTTCTATTCTGTAAGGAAATAACTTTTCACTTTTATAGCGAATTCGACAGTTTCTTCCGTGAGCTCCACCCTTCATTAATTAGGGAAATTATTGATGTACGTCGTGAGATATAATTAAACATGGCTTGTCATTTTCGGAAAACCTTATCCTTTTTAACCAATATTACCATCATAATCAATTCTTAAGATAAATAAATATGACTAGTACTTCATTTAAGAAAAAATGAAAAAAAGGTTGTAGTTGAGTTCTTTGTGGACATTGTCTTATGTCAGCTTAAAGGGTTCGGGGTTATTGGAAGAATAATAATGTTATTTTGAATTGTGTTTGAAAAATAAATATTCCATAATCGTTTTCTGTAGCTTTTTAAAAAATTTCGGTGATGCATCATTTAAGGGTAGGGTGATTTGAGCTTTTGTTATGTTGACTTATATAGCTAATGGAGTTGGGCCTACACCTTTTATTTTGAAATGCCATGTAAAAGCTTTACTTTTGATTCACTTAGTTATATGTGTGCTTTCATTTTTGTCTCGAATAATTTCTTATGGGATTCCCACTTATGCCATGATTATCTCCCCACTTTCATGATCGGTTATTATTTTGTGTATCACCATCTATCTTTCATTTTAAATCATTTATACTTGGAACAATCAAATGATTATTTTATTACTCACACGGGTTGTCGAAAACAACTGTTAAACCAATATAAAAAAGACTATTTTACCCTCTGTTGTTTAGGGTTGTAAACCAGCTGAACGAATGGAAACTACATCTGCCATGGATAGCCCATGCTCATCGTACCAACCAAGTCCAAACGCTTCTTCATACAATTTCAGTCCTACATCATCCTCAATTCCAAGCTCAATCTCATCTCTTTATAATTCCAATTCTACCCCCGACCCTAACTCTCTAATCCCATGGCTAAAAAACCTCTCATCCGGTCCCACATTAACCAAATTCCCACACCATCTTTACGTACCGGGTGGGTCCATAAGCGCCCCGGTCACCCCACCCTTAAGCTCCCCTACTTGCCGGACCCCACGAATGGATCACGATCAAACCGTACCCCCACCCTGGCCTTTCTCCTCCACTCCCCATAGTCCTGGCATCCAAACGCTGCCAGATTCAGGGTGGCTCTCTGGCGTCCAAACACCCCAAGAAGAGCCGTCGTCTCCCACCTTTAGCCTCGTGGCAAACCACCACCCGTTTGGCCGGATTTGGACACCGGGACAAAGCGGAACGTGTTCTCCGGCGGTCAACGGTGCGGCGGATGTCCCGATGTCGGATGTAGAGTTTGCTTTTGGAAGTAATATGAAGTTATTAGGGCTTGTGAAGCCGTGGGAAGGAGAGAGGATACATGAGGAATGTGTTTCGGATGATCTTGAGCTTACACTTGGGAATCCCAACACTAGGTAATCCTGCTAATTATTTCTCGAAAAATCTATCTGATTATAGCAATGTCATTGTGGGGGTGTTTGGGATTCCTTTTAGAAAGATTTTTGACTTTTAACTTTTCCGCTTTGGGTAATAGAAAAGTTCTTCTGAAAATGACTTTATGCATAGAAAAAAATGAGGGATTTCTAAAAGTCACAAAAACCTGATTTTTTTGTTGTTTTATATATAAAAGTTAAGCAAAAAGTCATTTTGTTGACTTTTTGTTAATCTAAACACATTTTAAGAAACTCCTTTTGCAAAAATTCATTCTACGAAAAAGAATTTTGATGTTCAAAAGTAATCCCAAACACCTCAGTATAAAACAATTTTTACTCCTACAATACAATTTTTACTCCTACAATGTTATAATTGATAGATTTTTCAACCTCTATATGACTCTCTGGAATTTTTAAAGTACAATGTAAAGAAAAGAAACATAGAATAAAAAAACTTTAACTAGGCAGCTTCTTTTTATGTTAATAAAAAAATATTAATAAATTTGTGTTTTGTTGTGTGCAGATAAGATTAATTTGGGTTGTGGTTTTGTGTTCCTGATGAATTGAGGTATTGTGTGTAGATTTAGATACAGAAGTAGTATGAGTTGATTTGCTTTTTATTCAATCATTACTACTATTATTCTTTTAAGTATTCAAAAAGGGTGAAGAAATATAACACTGGTATATTTATAAATAGTTTCTATAGGATTTTTTCTTTTCTTCTTTTAGTATTTTATTTATTTGTTTAATGTTCATCCTTTCTTTCCTCATTCTTTGGTACACGAATACTGTAATTGTTTTTTTCCTTTTTCTTTTCAATATATTGTGTTATAAAGACTTGTCACGTAAAAAGGGATAATTATTAAAATGACCAAAATAATATGTTATATCATAAAATGATTATTTTTCTGAAAAAATATCATAAAATAATCATTCATCTTACATAATCACTTTTGTGGAATACATTTGATTTTAAGATATTACTTTAATGTTTCATTTTCTATTTACTTTTTTTTTTCCAAAATAATAGGTACTTATATATATATGAATCAAGTATTTCGTAAAATATGAAAAAAAAAATCACTAGCATGGTTAGAATTACAAATTCAAAGAATTTAAAGGATCCTTCAAAAACGGTATTGATAAATGTGTGTTTCTTGATAGTTTATGAAAGTGGCATGAAATAAATAAAATTCATATCTATAAATGATATTATAATTTTAATAATGGTTTAGCAAATGCGACAACTTTTCATCGTTATTAATTTTTTTATACGAATGATCCTTGTAGTTTTTTAAATTTGCACTAATGGTCTTCGTACGTAGTTGCTAAAACTTGACTGAATGCTTTATGAGCTATAAAAAATGATGATTTATCTTTTTTAATTTCTTGTATCTTTATTCATAAACTACATTTAATTATTAAAAATAAAAAGAAATTAACCTAGACTACCCACCCTCCCTTCTTCCTCATCCCCCACGTAATTGTTTAATTATCTTTTCTCTTCTCTCCTTTATTCTAGTGTTCAAGAGAGGGAGTAAAACGAGAGCCTATAGAGAGGTAGAGATGGAGAGTGAGATCTAGTAGTATGTGAGAAATTGAGAAAAGAACATGATGATTCGTGATATAAAGACATAAAGGGAAGGAACGTTGTAGGGAAGTAAGTCTCCTTGCTATTTCCATCGGCTGTTCAAGACTGCAATCCATTCTCTACTGCGATCTCACAAACTAGTTTAGAACATGATTTTGATCCTTTTTATTGCGTAAAGATTGGATCCTTAGAGGTGGGTATGGGAAAAAGTGATTTTGGTTTGTTTTTTTGATACGAAAAAGAGTTAGATATTGAAATTTACTGAAGCAAAAGGGTATAGATGATAATGAATTAATGATATTATTCTTTAGTCACAAAAAGATTTTATGAGTTTTAAAGCTTTTAAGATATAAAAACCAAAAGTCACAAAAAGATTTTATGAGTTTTAAAAATGTTTCTTTTTGATCATGGTTAAAAGTTGATTTAAAAGAACTTTTTTATTTTGTCAAACATCTTTTGGATTTTTTTAACTTTTGGAAAAGTTAAAAGTCCAAAAATTGTTTTAAAAGGAAAGTCAAACACCCTCTTAACTTGTTAGTACTGACCTTAAAAATCCGAATCTTGTTCTCCATGTTCTATTCGGTTGTTAGGTTTTTTACATTCATACTTACATAAGGTATTTGATGTCTTCGCTTAATGATGCATCCATATCTTCTTTATTGGAATACTATGTTAATTGGAATACTATGTTCATGTGTAATTTTAGGGAACCCTACTGACTCTGTGTATAGTGTGCTCGGAGGAGGTTGAATTAAGGAGGCAACGTATGGACTAAAGAAAGTAGGATTGATGGGCCACATAAAATTGTCACTTGGTTAATAATAAAAATTAACAAAAAAGACAAAAAGGAGGGCAAGATAGTCATTTCAGCACACTTAACACTTAACAGACTCAAACTAAGGCATGTTAGTTTTAGGGACCAAAACCACACTAAACAAAGATCATTTTTGCGAGTCAAAACCTTTATGCACCTTAGCCAAAGAAATATGCAAACCACAAGGACCATTATTACAGTTTTATGACTTTATCGTAGATAAATATTCATGTAGCAGAAACAATGTTGGCTACATTATAAATAAAATATGAAACAAGTAATAGCAATACAAGCTGAACATATAAAAAGGAATAATAGTAAGATAGTAAAACCAAAACAATAAACACAACAGTAAAAAGACATCTGGTACTTCGACTACCCCAATACAATTAATTATCGTGATTCTATTCATCCACATCCTTTATTTAAAATCTTGTTCTCACACCATCTATATTGACCACCTTTACATTTCTAAATAAATGCAAGGTTCTCTCGGATGTATATGTTCGAACTTTGAAAAATAGACTCTTTCTTCCTTTAACTTATCAACAATTGAAAATGATGTTGGGTTTTATCCAAAAGTAACAAAAGATTAGCAACAAAAACATTTAAAATTCGAACAACATAAACTAGTTTTATTCCCACCAAAGGATCTACTTACAAAGTTTGGAAAGAAAACAACATCCATAGGAAAGGGGGGGGGGATTAACAACTGGTGTAGTCCTTTGATTCCCCAAGGGAAGGCTTAAAAGTTGATGAAGATGACAACGATCCAAAGTAGAATCTCTTTATCTTTGTCCACCAATAAGTCACCAAACCACTATAAGATGCTAGTATATCACTTGTATATAGTTATTCTTAAGACTCAAAGACCTATACTAAATAAGTCGTCAAAGGAGATGCAGCTAGAACACCCAAAATCTCACAACACTTTGCAAGAGAAAGGGAGATGGGAGAGATGGAGCGCTCAACTTTTACACTAAAAAAAGAAGAACTAAACTAGCTTTGGTCCTTTCTCTTCCTTTTATACTTTACACATGCATATGAAAGCCCATAATTTCATTAAATGACTTCATGACTCTCCCTCGTTGCATAAGCATTGCACCTAAACCTATGATGGATGCGTCACAAAACACCACGAAATCCTCAACACCCTCGGGGAGGGTCAACAGTGGGGCCTCACATAATTTCTACCTCAGTGTCTCGAACGCCACCTGCTGCTCTGAACCCCAACGAAAATATACGCCCTTCCTCATTAGACGAGTGAGGGGTAGTGCGATTTTGGAGAAATCCTAAATAAATCTCTGATAATATCCTGCCAAATTGTAACACCAGTCAAAATAGGTCAAAAACAATCAAATGTGATTATACCAATCATGTAATGTGATTTTTGTTAAAATAGTAATGTGATAAACTTACTATGTAACTCATGTTAAAGTATGAACTTTCATACATACTTTATGGTATCAATCAAAGTATACATCCATACGATTCCAAATATATAGAGAACATATAAATCTGACTTTGCATAAAGAAGTTATGATAGACCGAACAATATAAATCTCTATAATAAGAGGAATTTAAAATAGATTTAGAATTAGCTATTTAAGTCTAACAGAGAGTTGTAGTGCTCGTAAATACCTATGCGTGCATATAAAGAACATCAAAAACGAAGTTCGTATGCAAAAGTTATGGCATTCCGAAGATTTAGCTTTTAAAAACCCTAAACTAGCTAATTCACGACATGAGTTTTATGACACTCACTAAATTCTGTCATAATTCGGAATCTAGAAGCTGCGAGAGGATAAGATCCAATTCACGACGTGAGTTTTATGACACTCATGATGTGAGGAGTCATTCTGTCATAATTCGGAATCTAGAAGCTCCGAGAGGATAGGATCCAAAATTCACGACGTGAGTTTTATGACACTCACGACGTGAGGAGTCACATGGCCACCTTTGGAAGCTAGGGACGCAAATGGCAAGTCTACGGAGTGAATCATGAGACTCACGACGTGAGTTTTATGACACTCACGACTTAAGTGTCATAAAATCTTACTATAAATAGCCATTTCGACCCCAAGGCTTAGTACACCATTTCTTTCATTCTCTCTCGTTTCCGAAGGCTGTTTTCCCTTCCTGAGCTTGACTACGATGAACCTCTGACCGTTTAAATTCTATAAACACGCTACTAAGGTGAGTTTCACGGCCCCACTTTCTAATATTTCGGGGGAAAACGCATGCTAGTCATTGTATATATGTTATTATTATGTCTATATGATAATATATAGTTATAATAGCCGGGGTATAGTTGTTCTAAATATAATATTTTGAATATATATCAGTATGTTAATATATTAATATAGATATTGAGTTATACTTAGGATTCTATATATATTTTGTGTGCGATATAGTTCCGAAGTTATATTCGGAAGTTTTATATGTTAAGTTATATAGTATGTTCCAATTAATAGTTTTATGTCAAGATAAAACTAGATATGTTATATGTTGTTATTATTAGTTTTATGTCAAGATAAAACTGGATATGTTGTTATTGTTAGTTTTATGTCAAGATAAAACTAGAAACGTTATATGTTGTTATTATTGGTTTTATGTCAAAATAAAACCTAGTTTTTACTTCAAGATATAGGTGTTATACTGCCTAAATTTATGAAGTTAGGAGTAATGTTTAAAAGCATAGTCTAGTAACTTAGGCTTTTAGAGATGAAAATGTTTTTGTTGTTAGAACTATAGAACGTCGTCAAAGTCTACCAAAGCTAATGTATTCATCATCTAAGATTGGGGATCTTAGTGAAAGTCCTCTGACCTGTATTCGTTAATCTTGTGTGAGCGAGGAAGTCGTGTATAATTAGTATATGGGTTGACCACCCCACTTGTGTCTGTTAGCTACAATCAACCAAAAGCGAGTGATGAACTATCCTTTTATTTGTTATTGTTCCGATGTCGATGAAACGTGTGGAAACTACCGCAAGGTGTGATCCTTGTACTACCTCAAGGTGTAATCCTTGTACTATCGCAAGGTGTAATTCTTGTACTACCGCAAGTTGTAATCCTTGTACCACCGCAAGGTGTAACCTTGTACCACCGCAAGGTGTAATCCTTGTACTACCGCAATGTGTGATCCTTGTGATAATAATAGGAGGTATATGACTATGTCATACAGTCGCAACTACAGACTCATGGTAGCAACTTGTTAGAAACATTATACTTCGTCGCTATACAAGTATTAATGTTAAGTATAAGTTTCCCCTACTTATACCCTAAGTACTACTTGTATACTAAGTAGATAATTATACCTAGCACACATACTCGTATAGAATTGAAATAGATTTATACGTAGTGGTTTTACTCGTATAAAATTGAAATAAGATTTATACGTAGCAACTCTCATTTGTATGGAATTACAAACACTTATATCCATAGTATAAGAGACTTATAGGTAAACTACTTATTTGGTAAGTAAACTTTTATACCTAGGATATATATAGTAAATGTTGGACAGTCAAAATTATACTTTCAAAACTATACTTTTGAAACTCGGAATATGTATTATCTTATATGGAGTCAAAACCTGTGGACTCACCAACTTTATGTTGACGTATTTTAAATTGCATGTGTTTTCAGGAAGTTGATAACTATGATACGAGAAATGACGTTACATCGCCCCGTGTTTCCGCTGACGGCCGAGGTGTGACACAAACCCAAGAAACTCCTGATCTCCGAGGGAGTCTTCGGAACCTCCCATTACATAACGACATAAATCTTGGTCGGATTGACCAAAATCCCATTTTGGTTAACAAGGTTTCCCAACAAAACTCGCACTTTGAGAACTTGGCATCCAACCGTTCTCGCCTTAACACTCCCAGAAGTTGTCGAAGGTGGTCCTCATGTTGCTCCTTGGTCTTGGAATACACCAAGATATCATCAATGAAAACAATGATTAATCGATCGAGCATCAACTTGCATACTCGATTAGTCAAATCCATAAAAGCTACAGGTGTATTAGTGAGCCCAAAAGGCATCAGCACGAACTCGTAATGACCATAACAAGTCCGGAACACGGTCTTCTCCACGCCCACATCTCTGAACCTTATTTGATGATACCCTGACCTCAAGTCAATATTGGAGAACCAAGATGCACCCTTCAATTGATCGAAGAGGTCATCAATCAATGGAAATGGATAACGATTCTTCATCGTTAACTTGTTCAAATTCCAGTAATCAATGCACATCCGGTGTCAACCGTCCTTCTTCTGGACGAATAAAATCGGTGCTCCCCATGGCGAACTACTCGGTCTAATAAACTGCTTGCCCAACAACTCCTGTAGCTGAGAGGACAACTCCGGCATCTCGGGTGGTGCCAAACAGTATGACGCCTTAGCAATTGGGGCTGCACACGGAAACTCCTCCGGGAACACATCAGCAAATTCTATGACAAATGGCACATATAAAACCGAAACCTAGTTCCTAACTCGGGCATCAACCAGGTAAGC